CAAAACTGAGGCGGCTGTGTTCCCTAATGGGGTATGATGGGGGATCGTTCCACAGACCTGGAGCCCCAAGTTATAGCATGCGACTAGCGACAGCTTCAGCGATCTTAGAAAATGACCCCCACAGTAGCCCAGATGATGAAGCTGGCCAAGTGAGAGCATTTGCCAAGCACGGGCTATGCCAGGCAGGATTCCAAGCACTTGGCATCTATTAACTCACTTCACTTTGGCATCAACTCCTTGTCGAAGTTACTGTGGACAGATACGGAAGCCTCAGCACAGAGAGGTTGAGCAGTCTGCTCAAAGTCACACAGGAAAAGTGACAGAACCAGGAATAGAAGCCAGCCAGTCTGCACATAGGATCTACATCCTCAACCAGTGCATCTCTGATTCCAAACAGATGTCGAAGATGAAGGTCAGCAAGTCTTCATTACCAAATTTAATACCAAACAGCTGGATTAAAAATTCACATCAGAGGCAGAAGAGCAAAACTAATACCACAGAGAATCAATGCAATGGTTTTAAGACTAAACATGAGTAGTTCTTCCAAATGCCAAGGTAAAAGATAAACCCACAAATATAATGAGGGAAAAGATAACACAGAGTGTGTATTTATTGGAGACCAAACATGAAAATTCAATCACTGAGCAGAAAAACACAAATAGGTCCAAAATAATAATCACAGACGTAATTGAAGATCTGCTATTCTGGGCTGAATGAACAGAGGTGTGTATATTTGGAGTAGAAAAACTTAATGAATTCCAAGAAAATCAGGCCTTTAGAGCCCACCCTAGAACTGCATTGGCACATTTTTAAACGTAGAAGACATAAGAACAGTCCCTCACATGCAGGACGAATAACATCCAATCTGGAAATGAACCGCATCAGGCTGACCTCAGACCCCTGTCCCACTAACCAGGATATGGCAATATCCTCAGAGCTTCCAGGGGAAGCTTTGGTGGACTAAGGCTCTATTTTTCCTTTTTTCAAATTATTACACCTTTCTCAAATAAAGATAACAGTGATGTATTTTCATAAAAGCAAGAGCTTAGAAAGTACTCCACCCAGGTATCCCTCTTAGAAAAAATACTTAAGGAAATATGACAAATGGCAAAGTGATTGTTATGGATAGAATGTTTGTGTCCTCCCAAAATTCACACGTTGAGACCCTAATTCCAATATGATGGTGTTAAGAGGCGGGGCCTTTGGGAGGCAATTAGGTCAAGAATGGGATTTGTGCCCTTTAGAGAAGAAACCCTGGAGAGATTCTCTCTGTCCTGTGAGGACAGCAAGAAGGTGGCTGTCTGTAGGCCAGGAAGAGCGCCCTCTCCAGAAGCCCACCATGTGGCACCCTGCCTGATCCTGGACTTCCAGATTCCAGAACTGGGAGAAAGAAATGCCTACTGCTCAAGACCCCCAAGTCCATGGCAATTTGTTTTATCAGCCCCAATGGACTACAACAGAGAAGAAACGAAGACAAGAGCTCAGAAATGCAAAGGCTGGGGTATCAAGGAGCTGGCCCAGATACGAAGACAGGAAGACACTGACCTGTGTCCACGTAACCAATGTGCTCAGTTATAACTGCAAATGCAAAATTCCCATCTGTTATAACAGATGCATATTCAACATTGAAATTGAATAGCAGTGATGAGATTCTAATACTTCACTGCATGCTAATGTGAGAGGCCACTAACCACATGTGGCTCTTGAAATGTGGCTCGTGCCACATGTTGAAATGGTAACACTTTGGATGTTCTGGGTTAAATAAGGTCTATTCCTTAATTAACTTCACCTGTTCCTTTTGCCATCCTTAAATGTGGCTGTTATAATATTTACGATTGCATGTGTGGTTCTGCTTCTCCTGGAATATGCTGTATGTTGCTTTCAATTAAACAGGAAAGACTGAGAAGCCGGTGGGGGTGGACAAGTGGGCTGATGTTGAGGAGTGCGAGATTAATGCTGTTTTAAATGGAAATTCTCAAATTACAGTTCCATTCCTCACTTTAATAATTAGAAAATAAACATAATGGTAAACTTAAAAACTATTTATTTGTACAATTAGAAACAGGATGTATATTTTTCAAAACAGCAAATGAAAGTAGAAAAGAAAAAAGCAAACCATGGTGGTTATTGTAAAGACAGAAAAGCAATTGAAACCAGAGGTAAACCTCGAAAGCAGAGAACACAGTGAAAATGTCAGGGTGAAGAGCGAAGCAGCTGGTTAGAAAGGAAAATAAATTTCATCTGATGTTTCCTATTAGAAGAAAACATTTCTCAAAATTGTTTATAAAATAAAAACCAGAATAAGGTAACAAATGTCACAATTAAACAGCAATGAGAGGGAAAGAGATGCCTCCCAGGTCCGACGGCTGTGGCGGCCTACACAGAGCCTCCTCTCCCATCCTCCCCAAGGGGTGACCCACGCAGCCTAGAAACAGGGGCTCCCACACTAGCAGGGCCCCCAGATCCTACAGGATGAGCCGAAGGGAGGGTGGCCTGGCTCAGGCTTCCCTGCAGGTGGGGAAACCATGTTTCCTTACAGAGTCCCACCCAGTGGGGAGACATGGGCATGTGGCTAGGCCGGCTGGTGAAGGGCTGTGGGAGATGGGTGGTGAAGGGCACCTAGCGTCAGAAGTCCCCTCCCAGTCCTTGCTTGGTGAGTCCCCCCACCCCACACACACATCCCACCCCCCTTCACAAACAGGGTGGAGGCTGCACAAGCACGGTCATGGGGCTCAGGGTGGGGCAGCCTCGTCCTGGGCTGCTGACCAGGCTGGGATACAGAGAGGGCTGGAGGCAGCCCTTCCTGCCCTGCCTGCTCCCCTTGTCCTGGTGGCCGGGCTGGAAGCTTGGAAAGGAAAATGAAAGTGACAATGCACCTGTGTCCTTCCATCCTGGGAGCCCGTGACCCTGGGACAGGGACTTCCATCCCTGTTGTTACATTTGCACAGACATGCCGTGAAAACTGCTAAGGAACAAAGCATTGCCTGGACAAGTCAACAGACACAACAGTCCAAAAGAAAAGACCTCCTCAAGAATTAAGGAATCATCGCCAACAACAGGGGAAAGTTACAGAAAATTTCCAGTTAGTCTTAAGAATTGGGAAGTTGCGACAGGGTTCCAGTTCTGGAAACCTGTTAGTGAGATTGTCTGACCCACCATCCTGCTGAAAACAACTGAAAGCACTGGGAAGAATCTTCCTAGTCACAGCAGGAAACTGGAAAAGGAATAAAGAATTACAGGATTACAGGCCCAAATCAAAGGCAGGGGTCTTTGCCCTTTTTCGGCCAGGGGCCTTCCCCACCACCTTGTGAAACCTTTGAATGTTTTCAAATGAGTAAAGTAAAAGAAAACCAACTACATTAAGTCACGGTGATGGGGTGGGCATGGTGCTCACGCTTGTAATCCCAGCCCTTTGGGAGGCCAAGGCAGGTGGATCATGAGGTCAGGAGTTCAAGACCAGCCTGGCCAAGATGGTGAAATCCTGTCTCTACTAAAAATACAAAAAAATTAGCCATGCGTGGGGGCGGGTGCCTGTGATCCCAGCTACTCAGTAGGCTGAGGCAGAGAATTGCTTGAACTGGGGAGTGGAGGTTGCAGTGGGCCGAGATTGCGCCACTGCACTCCAGCCTGGGCAACAGAGCAAGACTCTGTCTCAAAACAACAAAGAAAAACAAAACGCGATTATTAAACTGAAAACACGAGTTAACGATCTAGCCCCTGCTTCTCCAGGGAACACACGCCCGGCGGGACCCAGCGGCGCATCTCACGCTGCCGTCATTATGAAATAGCAGTGGCCAGAATGAGGTTTTGAGTATCTGCAGCCACCATAATGTGACGCCCCACATCTCATTTCTGTGGGTGCCAAAGCCGCAGGTGCCGTAAGCGTTCTCGGCTACATTCATGATTGATTGAAACGCTACATTTCAGTCAGAGGTTTGTGAAATAAAGATGCATTTTTTATTCTTCTCATCTGAGCTCACAGATCCCAGGTGAAGGACCCTTGTTGTAACCCATAGCGTTTAGAAACACCCAGAATTCGCTTTGTTCTTGAGAGCATTTGGTGTTCTGGCCATTTTAAATTTCGGATTGAGTGGTTTTGCAGGATGAAGAGGACAGAAATTGAAGCCGAGAGCCACCTCGTGGTGGGTCTAACGGGGACCACCCCTACATTAAGCTAAAGACAGCACGGGCTGCACCTTCAGAGAAGACGGAGGCAGAGCCACGCAGGGGCTTTGCCCATCCCGGGGGCTGCTGGCTGCCTGGGACTCCGCTCACCCAGAGAACATCCTGCCCCGGCAAGCCTGCCCTCATTCTGCTCTGCAGCCCAAACCGGCACGTTGTGGGTGGCCCACACTAATTGAAGCCATGTATTTAGTTGAAAGTGCTCCTAGAATCAGAGTTTCCTCACATAAGGAAAAAGCAAACACATCTTTCTTAGAGGCCTCAAAAATGCCCACAAATGCTTTTCAAGGGCAAGGGTGATGACTCAGCCACAAATAGCTAAGCACACAAGGAAACAAGACACCATGAGGGAGAATCAGCAGAAATTACAGAAAGCTGAACTGGACTTACAGAGACTTCAGGTACACGGATTGTCAAATAAATGTACACAGATGCTTTGAAATAAGAAATCAGCTCTGAAATATCTTCCAGGAATGAGAAATATTTATTTTATTGAGTAAGAGAGAGCTGGTGAGAAGAGGGTGAGTGGAGGTCAGACAGGCAGAGGAAGGAGAGAGAGTCAGGAGCCCAGGGGGAGGCCAGGCCCTGTGGGTGTGGGGGATTCACAGAGAAGGGCACACCCAGGGCCTGGACATGCTGAGGCTGGCAGGGAACCCCACAACAGCAGACCCAGCACAGTGGGAGATCAGGACTGCCTCCGCCCCTGTGCTGTCACCCTGGACGCAGCTCCAGGCGAGTCCCAAAGCGCCCACCCCACACAGCACATGGGAGCTCTTCCCCAGGGTCTGCCAGATACATAAAAAAGGCCTCTGAGAGGGCAGAGTGGTGACTTTGTTTGTTGACAGACTGATCACTCACATGGGGCAGGACACAGCAGCCCCGGCTGTCCAGGACGGGGCTGAGGGTGTGGGAGAGGCGAGTGCTGGGAGGGAACTTGGCTGTGAAGTCTCAGCACTGCTGACTGGAGATGCAGTGGCCCTGGGCAGAGAAGGCTCCACCAGGGCTCAGGGCTGCCAGGATTTCCGGAAGTCAGAGATGGCCCTGGAACAACTCTGGAGACATGGGACCTGCCCGTCAGCAGCTGGACTCCTGGCCTGAGCAGAGGCCTCAGCAGGCCGGGCGGGAGCACGCTGGGTGGCAGAGGAGGGACACACAGGAGGCTGGGCGGCAGCAGCTGGACTGGCAGGAGGAGGAGGGGGCACAGCAGGAGGGGACACAGCAGGCAGGCCTGCACACGGGGCGGCAGAGCAGGGACACCGAGGAGGAGGGTTTGCAGCAGGAGGAGGTGCAGCAAGCCAGCTGGCAGCTAGACTGCTGGCAGCATGAAGTGGAAGCCCCAGAGCAGGTGGGCACACAGCAGACAGGCACACAGCAGGACTGCTGACATGGGGAGGAGGTGCAGCAAGTCGGCTGGCAGCTAGACTACTGGCAACATGAAGAGGAGCTCTCAGAGCAGGTGGGCACACAGCAGACGGGCTTGCAGCAGACAGGCACACAGCAAGACTGCTGGCAAGAGGAGGAGGCACAGCAAGCCGGCTGGCAGCTAGACTGCTGGCAGCATGAAGAGGAGCCCTCAGAGCAGGTGGGCACACAGCACACAGGCTTGCAGCAGACAGGCTTGCAGCAGACAGGCTTACAGCAGACGGGCACACAGCAGGCCTGTTGGCAGGGGGAGGAGGTGCAGCAAGCTGGCTGGCAGCTAGACTGTTGGCAGCAGGAAGAGGAACCCTCAGAGCAGGTGGGCACGCAGCACACGGGCTTGCAGCAGACAGGATTACAGCAGACGGGCACGCAGCAGGCCTGCTGGCAGGGGGAGGAGGTGCAGCAAGCCGGCTGGCAGCTAGACTGCTGGCAGCACGAGGGCGTGCAGGAGCTGATGCAGCCTGATTGGCAGGGGCTGGACACACAGCTCACTGGGGTACAGACCAGGGTCAGGCAGGGGGCGGGGGCGCAGCAGCTGGGGGCGCAGCAGGGGGGCTCGCAGCAGCTCTCTGGGCAGTCGTCCACCTGCCAGGAGTCGGAGCAAGCGCTGGAGCAGACGGACATGGTGGACGCGGCCATGCTGGGGTGTGGAGGAGGTGAGTGGGGGAGGTGTGAGTGTGTGGTGGGTGTGTGAGCAATCGTGCCAGGTGCTCTGAGCGGTCAGAAGCTTTATACGCCTTGGTGTTGATTGCGCCGCCCTGGCTGGCTTCGGGAAGCCTTCCTTTTCCTTGTTGTTGCTGCAGGCACTGTTGTGTTAGTAGTGTTGGTTCACTGTTTGTGGATGTTCTGGTTTGTGAGGCTCCCAGCTGGAGTTGGGGCTGCCCTCATGTGGGTTTGTCCATGGATAAACTAGTAGAAACGTATTGATTGCATCAAAGCACACTGTAGGGGCAGGGACAGGGGCATTCAGGAGATATGCTGGAATTGACAGCCCTCAGCTGCATCCCAGAAGTTTATACTTATGAAAGACTTCTATACCCAAGGAGGGATGAGGTTAGGAGAACCTCAGTTTCTGGGCATTGAGAAAAGGGAGAGATGTGTTCTGCTGTGGACAGGTTTGATGATGCTCAGTTGGCCTGGCCACATGGCGAGAGCCACCCTGTGGGTCGACACTGCTGGTTTTCAGTGGGAACCATGGGGCATATTTCTGCTGGGGGTGAGCTCTGGAGCAGGTGTGAGGCAATAGTGCCTTCCTGGGCAGAGATTGGCTCACAGAGGGGAGCAGGGAGGCAGCCAGGCCTAGCACATAGGGCTGGACGTGAGGGGAAAGCACCTTCGTTTGATTTCACATTGAACTGTCCTGTGACCTTCCCCAGGGGTGTGCATAATCATGTTCACAACTTATCCTCTCACGTCTTAGGCAACATCACCTACAATGGTGCCTTTGGGAGCTCCAAGATCTCTTCCCTTCCATGGGCCAGTAAGTCATCAGAATGTGGTAGTTCTACTGTTGTCTCCTGGACGTTGTCATAGTAAATGTACAAAAAAAAGGGTCTGGTTGCAAAGCCTTGTCTCACAAATACCTATACACCTGTGTGCATCTGCCCATGCCCGTGCTCGGGACCACATCTGTGCCCTAGTAAGTCCCCAAAGTTCTGATCATGGGTCCCTCATCTCCTCACTCTGTGATCACTCTTCTCTACTAAATCTCTGAAATGGCAGAGGCGGAGACTCTGATGATCCTGTGGGCTCCAGGGCTCTCCAAAATTAGGTCAGGGCTCCACTGAGTGCTTTCTGGGGGCCCATAGGCTGCAGGGTTTGAAGCCAATGACCATTGATGGGTAGGGCTAAGGGCTATATTGGAGGACTACCTGGCAAAGACAGGCTACAGTGGAAAAATATTATTTCATAGACATAAGAGCTGGACACAGACTGGCAAATTGGATAAAGAGTCAAGACACCTTGCTGTGCTGTATTCGGGAGACCCATCTCACATGCAAAGACACACATAGGCTCAAAATAAAGGAATGGAGGAAAATTTACCAAGCAAATAGAAAGCAAAAAAAGCAGGGGTTGCAATCCTAGTCTCTGATAAAATGGACTTTAAACCAACAAAGATGAAAAAAGACAAAGAAGGGCATTACATAATGATCAAGGGATCAATTTAACGAGAAGAGCTAACTGTCCTAAATATCTATGCACCCAATAAAGGAGCACCTAGATTCATAAAGCAAGTTCTTAGAGACCTACAAAGAGACATAAACTCCCACAAAATAATAGTGGGAGACTTTAGCACCGCACCGTCAATATTAGGCAGATCAATGGGACAGAAAAGTAACAAGGATACTCAAAACTTGAATTCAGCTCTGGATCAAGTGGACCTCATAGACATCTACAGAACTCTCCACCCAAAATCAACAGAACATACGTTCTTCTCAGTGCCACATGGCACTTATTCTCAAACTGATCACATAATTCAAAGTAAAACACCCCTCAGCAAATGCAAAAGAACTGAAATCATAACAAAGTCTCCCAGACCACAGTGCAATCAAATTAGAACTCAAGATTCAGAAACTCACTCAAAACCACACAACTACATGGAAATTGAATAATTTCTGAATTATTCAAGCTCCTGAATGATCCCTGGGTAAATAACTAAATTAAGGCAAAAATCAAGAAGCTATTTGAAACCAATGAGAACAAAAAGAAAGTGTATCACAATCTCTGGGACACAGCTGAAACAGTGTTAAGAGGGAAATTTACAGCACTAAATGCCCACTTCAGAAAGCTGGAAAGATCTCAAATCGACACCCTAACACCACAATTAAAAGAACTAAGAAGCAAGAGCAAACAAATCCAAAAGCTAGCAGAAGATAAGAAATAATTAAGATCAGAGAACTGAAGGAGATAGAGACAGGAAAATTCCTTCAAAAAAATCAGTGAATCAGGAGCTGGTTTTTTGAAAAAGTTAACAAAATAGATAGACCACTTGCTAGACTAATAAAAAAGAAAAGAGGGAAGAATAAAATAGATGCAATAAAAAATGACAAAGGGGATATCTCCGTTACCCCACAGAAATGCAGACTACTATCAGAGAAAGCTACAAATACCTCTACACAAATAAACTAGAAAATCTAGAAGAAATGGGTAAATTCCTGGACATGCACCCTCCTAAGACTAAACCAGGAAGAAGTCAAATCCCTGAATAGACCATAGCAAGTTCTGAAATTGAGGCAGTAATTAATAGTCAACCAATCAATAAAAGCTCAAGACCAGATGGATTCACAGGCAATTTCTACCAGAGGTAAAAGAGGAGTTGGTACCATTTCTTCTGAAACTATTCCAAACAACGGAAAATAAAGGACTCCTTCCTAACTCATTTTATGATGCCAGCATCATCCTGATACCAAAACCTGGTAGAGACACAACAAAAAAAGAAAACTTCAGGCCAATATCCCTGATGAACATCAATGCAAAAATCCTCAATAAAATACTGATAAACCAAATCCAGCAGCACATCAAAAAGCTTATACACCACAATCAAGTCAGCTTCATCCCTGGGATGCAAGGCTAGTTCAACATATGCAAATCAATAAACATAATCTATCACATAAACAGAACCAATGACAAAAGCCACATGATTATCTCAGTAGATGCAGAAAAGGCCTTCAATTAAATTCAACATCCCTTCATGTTAAAAACTCTCAATAAACTAGATATTGATATAACATATCTTAAAATAATGAGCTATTTATGACAAACCCATAGCCAATATCATACTGAATGGGCAAAAACTGAAAGCTTTCCCTTTCAGGGCACAAGACAAGATGCCCTCTCTCACCACTCCTATTCAACATAGCATTGGAAATTCTGGCCAGGGCAATTGGACAAGAGAAAGAAATAAAGAGTATTCAAATAGGAAGAGGGGAAGTCAAATAGTCTCTGTCTGCAGATGTTATGATTCTATATTTAGAAAACTCCATCATCTCAGCCCAAAACTCCTTAAGCTGATAAGCAACTTCAGCAAGTCTCAGCATACAAAAATCAGTGTGCAAAAACCACAAGCATTCCTATACACCAACAATAGACAGAGAGCCAAATCATGAATGAACTCTTATTCACAATTGCTACAAAGAGAATAAAATATCTAGGAATACAGCTAACAAGGGATGTGAAGGACCTCTTCAAGGAGAACTATAAACCACTGTTCAAAGAAATAAGAGAGGACACAAACAAATGGAAAAACATTCCATCCTCATGGATAGGAAGAATCAATGTCATGAAAATTGCCATACTGCTCAAAGTAATTTATAGATTCAATGCTATTCCCACAAAACTACCACTGACATTCTTTACAGAATTAGTAACTTTCCAAAATTATTGAAAAACATTAATCTACACATCCAGGAGCTCAGAAAACTCTAAGTTGGAGATACACAATTGATATGCAAATAGACATATAGTAAAAATACTGAAAGTGAAAAACAAGGAGGAAATCTTGAAAGCAGCAATAGAAAAGTTATTTATAAGAGAACCATAAGAAGAGCAACAGTTGACTTCTTATCAGAAACAAGACACCAGAAGGCAGTATGATGGTACATTCAAAGTGCTCAAAGAAAAGGAAACGTCAACCAAGAATTCTGTATCCAACAAAGTTATCTTTCAGAAATGAAGGCAACATAAAGACATCCCTAGATAAATCAAAACTGAGGGAATCTATTGCATGCAGATGCATCTTATGAGACATAGAGTACTGCAGACCAAAAGCAAGTCACCCCAGACAGAAATTCATATCCACACAGAAAAACAAAACAGCAGTAAAACTAATTATGTAATTATAAAAGATAGTACAAATGCAATTTTCTCCTTTATTCTCTTAACTGATTTTTAAAAAGCAATATAAAAATGTATATTTGGTATTGTTGGGCCTATGGCAATAATAGTACAAAGGAGGTACATGGAAACAAAGCTATATTGGACAAAGGAAGTTACTAAAGATAGTAATGTGAATCCACAGGAAAAAATGAAGAGAATCAGAAATGATAAAAAGGCTAATACAACAAATGATATAAATATATACTGTTCCTTCTTTATTCTCTAAGCATCTTTAAAAGCCATACAATTATAGAAAGTAATAATTATACAATATATTGTTGGGTTTTAACATCTGTAGATGTAATATACATAACAACAAGACTATGAAAAGGGCAAAAAGGAAAAGATTAATATAGGAGCAATCTTTTTATATCTCACCAGTATTAAGTTAGCACAAATCTGAAGTTGATCTTGACAAGTCAAAATAAGTATATGGTAAGCCCCAGAGCAACCACTAAGGAAAAACTAAAACAGTGTCATGGGAAAACATTAAAGAAATCAAAAGGCTACATTTGGAAATATTCACTTAATATAAGAGAAAGTAGTAAAGAAAGAACACAACAGTAACAGAAAACCCCATAAAACCACAGAACCATATAAAACATATGGGAAATAAAAAGTAAACTTAGACATAAATCTAACTACAGTTGATTTTTTTTGTTAGTAGTAATTACATAAAGTCATTCCAAATACTGAATTAGGAAATACTATAGGAGAAATACAGAGTTTGGTTTTTGTAGGCCTCTGGTATCAATATATAATCTGTGTCATATGTGTTTAATAATTATTGTTTATTCATTAA